CACTCATGTCCAGAGGCAGAGTAGTCCCACCTCAACACATGGATTTTAAACCCATAAAGCCTTCCCACTCTATAGGACTAACCTATAAATTTGATATAAAAAAGTGGTTATGTCATGGAAGGGTTATTCACATCATAACTGGACAGTTGATTAAATCAGACAATGAATCTTTCCACTGCTTCACAATATTCCCCATTTTGCATCTTCCCCTTCATTTTATGACAATGAGTGTTCAGTCACAAACAACTGCTGCACAGAATCTGGGTACCTTTGCCAGAGATTGCCTAGTTCACCTACAAGGCAAGTGGAAGACCTTCAATTGTCTTACTGACTGATGCCTAGGTGTCTCCGGCCTGCAGTTAGCGTCAGTACTGGCAGCGTGTTTGGAAAATGCTGATTACACTGAAGAAGTCAGTAAGAATTCAATATAAAATGCCCAGCAAGTCAGGAGTGTACTGCATGGAGAAATCACTGCACGCATAAACTTGTTGCTCTCTGCCAACTTGTTACTATTGCAGACGTCTCTCCTCCTACCAATTTCCTGTAGATCTCACAGCACCAATCAATTAAGGGCAGTTGTTAAAGTAAATATATAATCTGTCTTTCCAAAGGTCAGCGAAATATGATCTTTGCTGTTTGAGATTGTGCAATTGCACAGTCATTATACACTATATATTGTATTTCATGGAATATTGTGCAGCTGTGATCAGCTTACATAAAGCATCTTTGAGTGAGAGGTGCATGAAATGAAAGCTCACTGGATTTGGTCCTGACAGAAAGCTGACCTATGTGAAGACCAAGTAGATTTGACATACATTCTCAGGTGTTTAGTAAAACAAGCAGCCATCTCTTCAAAGCATGCAAATTTCTTAGAGGGTTTGTCAGGACAAATACCAAGATAGGATTAGCCCTTTAAGGTTTTAGAGTAGATTTGTAGCTCGGGTTGTGGATGGTTGGCTCGCCAAGCTGGTTTGCTGTTTTTCCGCAAACGTTGCGTTACCCAGCAGGGTAACATCATCAGTGCAGCCTCCGATGAAGCACCGTTGTGTATTCCCACCTGTGATTCAGAGTTTAAATAACAGGCAGGAAAACACAACAGCACTTCATTGGAGGCTGCACTGATGTTACCCAGTAGGATAATGAAACATCTGCAGAAAAACAACAAACTCGCTCAGCAAGCCAACCAGCCACAACAGCATTATCCCTTGCGGTATGCAGAACTGGAGTCGACATCTCAGGATAAAGGGGTTGGTCTTTTTGTACGGAGATGGAAATATTCCTTCACTCAGCATTGATTCACAATGGAATTCTATCCAGAGTTGTGGATGCTCAGCTCATTGTTTTATTCAAGTGAAGTCATTTTTTTTGTATCAAGAGACACAGGGTATTGAATGGAAAGTAGAGCTGGCGTTCAGTGATGATTATATTGAATGGCAGAGCAAGTTCAAGAGACCATAAGGGCACCTCCTGCTCTGGCTTTATTTTAAATCCAAAATTTCACTTGAATGTGTCAGCATAAACATCAGGTCAGTAAATTACTCAAATCCTGCACTGTGTCAAAACTGCTTAGAGTTCAGCTATTTGAAAATGTGCAACACATCTGTTGAAGGCCAATAGGTGACCAGCAACTTGCTGGACTGGAAACCAGGCAATGAAGCAAAATGTTAATTTTATCTCTCATCCAATATTACTGGTAGTCAGATTCAACAGCCATGCGTCCAGTGGCTAGATTTCTCTCTTCACCTCAGAAGGTTGCGAATTCATCTTTACTGGATTATCAGCTCAAATTCCAGTGGGAAACTCTAAGGCAAAAGGTAAGGAATGTGGCACTTTTGGAAGCGCCATCGATTGATGGAGTCATGAAACTGGAGCACCTTCTGCCTTTTCGGGTGGATCAAGGCTCAAAGTAAAGTAGATTTTCTTAAAAAACAAAAACGTGAAATTGGTCAAGGGCCAATCGAATCACTATCATATTGCTAATGTGGAATCTTGTATGTGCAAATTTGTTGCCATATTTCCTCCTTAATGACAGTGACCACATTTCCATAAAGTAGTTTATTGGCTGTAAATTGCTTTAGGCTGTCCTGAGATTGTGAAAGCTACTTTAAGGATTATTGCTGTTTATGCAGTAGAGTATGAAATGAACACTGCATCCAAATTTCTTCAGATTCCTGAAGGGTTTAGGTTAACATCGCAGTCTCTGGTTTCCACTGGCATGAGGAGAGCAGAGTCTGCTGCTTTAACCACTGCATGTGTTTGTCTGCTATAAATCACAGAGGGTGACCACTCACTTTCTGGGTGATATCTGTACACTTCTAGGCAAGTAGATAGTTGAAATCAATAAGTAGAAACGATCACAAAGCAGTTTTGAACCATCTTTACTGGTCAAATTCCCTCCAAAACAGCACAGACATGTCTTCAGGGAGAAAACACTAAATAAAGCAAAATATATCTGTGAATCAGTGCACAATACCAACAAAATGGGTTAACGGATTTGTTAGAAATTGCATCATCGGGAGGGAGAAATTCTACCTGTACTACAAAACATCACAACCTACTTGCTCCTGCCCCACCGAAATTATCTCCACTTATTAAAAAACACCCACAGCCTCCAACCTCATCGTTCCCCAACCCCGCACCACCCGTTTTTATCTCCTTCCCAAAATCCACAAACCCGACTGCCCTGGTCAACCCCCATCGTCTCCGCCTGCTCCTGCCCCACCGAACTTATCTCCACTTATTAAAAATCTGACCCCACTACCAAGGACATTTTTCCCTCCCCACCCTTATCTGCCTTCCAAAGGGACTGCTCTCTCCGTGACTCCCTTGTCCGCTCCACTCTCCCCACTAGCCCCACCACCTGTGGCACTTTTCCCTGCAACCGCAGGAAGTGCTACACCTGCCCCTACACCTCCCCCCTCATCCCCATCCCGGGCCCCAAGAAAACCTTCCACATTAAACAGATGTTCACCTGCACATCTGCTAATGTGGTATACTGTATCCGCTGTTCCCGATGTGGCCTCCTCTACATCAGGGAAACCAAGCGGAGGTTTGGAGACCGCTTTGTGGAACACCTATGCTCGGTTCGCAACAAATGACTGCACGTCCCAGTCGCGAACCACTTCAACTCTCCCTCCTTGGGCAACATGTCCATCCTGGGCCTCCTCCAGTGCCACAATGATAACACCTAAAAGGTTGCAGGAACAGCACCTCGTATTTCGCTTGGGAACCCTGCAGCTCAATGGTATCAATATGGACTTCACAAGCTTCAAACTCTCCCCGCCCCCGACCACATCCCAAAACCAGCCCAGATCGTCCCTACCTCCCTGACGTGTCCATCCGTTCTCCCACCCACCCCCACCTCTTACCTACCAGCCTCATCCCCCACTCCTTGACCTGTCAGTCTTCCCTTGACAGACCAACCCCCATCCTAACTCCCTTCCTACACTCGCCTTTACCGGCTCCATCCCTGCCTCCTTGACCTGTCCGTCTCCTCTCCACCTATCTGCTCCTTTATCCATCTTCCATGTGCCTCCCCCTCTCTCTCTATTTATTTCAGAATCCCCTTCCCCTCCTCCATTTCTGAAGGGTCCAGACCTGAAACGTCAGCTATCCTGCTCCCCTGATGCTGCTTGGCCTGCTGTGTTCATCCAGTTCTACACCTTGTTATCACAACCTACTTGCTACTTGTTTGCTGGTTTCAGTTTCTCCTTTAGGATAATGAGCACAGTTCAGAACTGACATTGCAAACTTGACCTAGCAAGCTAATCAGAGTCAAAGTCACACAACATGGAAGCAGACCCTTTGGTCCAATGAGTCCATGCCGATCATGTTCCCAAACTAAACTAGTTCCATTTGCCTGCATTTGGCCCATATCCATCTAAACCTTTCTTTTTCATGTATCTGTCCAAATGTCTTTTGGATGTTGTAACTGTACCTGCATTCACCACTTTCTCTGGCAGTTCATTCCCCACACAAACTGCTGTGTAAAAAGGTTGCCCCTCATGTCCTATTTAAATCTCTCCTCTCACCTTAAAAACATGTCCCCTAGTTATGAAATCCCCCATCCAAGGGAAAAGACTTTTGTCAGTGCTATCTATGCCCCTCATGATTTTATAAATCTCTATAAGGTCACTCTCAACTTCCTATGCTCCAGTGAAATAAGTCCCAGACTTTCCAGACTATTTTTGCATCTCAACCTCCCCATGCCCGGCAACATCCTGGTAAATCTTTTCTGAACCCTCTCCAGTTTAATAATATCCTTCATATAACAGGGTGACCAGAACTGCACACAGTCGTCCAGAAGAGTCACCAATGTCCTGTACAACCTCAACATGACTTCCCAACTCCTGTACCCAAAAGTCTCAGCAATGAAGGCAAGTATGTGCTAAACACCTTTTAACAACCCTGTTTATGTGTGATGCAAATTTCAAAGAATCATGTACCTGAACCCTTAGGTCTTTGTTCTACAACACTACCTAGGGCTCCAACATTAATTGTATAAATCCTGTCCTTGTTCATATCACCAAAATGTAATACCTCACATTTATCTAAATTAAACTCACCTGCTACGCTTCAGTCCATGGATCCAATTGATCAAGACTTCCTTGTAATCTTAGATAACCCTCTTCACTGTCCATTATACCACTAATTTTGGTGTCATCTGCAAACTTGCTAACCATGCCTCCTATAAAATCTCCACCCTCACAACTAGGTTTGGTGTCTCTCAGAAATGCTGTTGGTTTCAAAAGGAGGACAATGGACAACAAGTACAAGATCAACTCTGAGGGTACTGTTGGGTTGCTGATAGGTGGGTGGGTGGATGGATGGTGGGCGGGTGAAGAGACGGGGTTGTGGGAATGTGGGTGCAATAGAAAAGCAAAGGCTAACCTAAGGAGGAAGGCAGGTGACAGGACACAAATGATCAATTTGGACAGAATTTTACTCTGGGTACCTCCCACACTGTGACTTGGTTTGGGCTTAAGTTACCACGACGTTAATGCATTATTAGCATTTATTCATATATGCACATACATGGACATCAACAACATAACCAAAGTGCTCTGAATGTAACAGTCTCAATTTTAGATTTCACATTGGACTTCCTGTTTTCCATTAATTATTAAGAATTGCAGACAAGGACACAGATCAATGTAGAATAATGCAAAACAAACTACAAAATCAAGAGCTTTAACAAAAACCTTCCATTGTCCCCTTCAACATAACTTTCAGGAATGATCAAATATCACGTCCTCTGCATCTGGCTTCTTCCCTTCATCATAGGATAAAATACAGAAGAGACGCATTGTCTTAGCTATTGCCCTCATCTTATTGCTTTACAAGTGGAATTTCCTTAAGAGCTCATAGTTCATAATTGACAGCCTCTTAGTGTGCACCCAGCCTTGTATCCTCCCGATGGTTCAAACAAACCGGACTGGTGTTAGAAAGGAAAACTGAATGTCCTAATTCCACTTCATCTCTTAAACCCAAATTGATAAGAAAAGAAAAAAAAGAGTAACAAAGGACCACTATGCACTTCAAAGTGTCTTTCAAAGTAATCTAAAACTTTCAGTCTTTAAAATGAGAAAATCAAACTGGAGTTTTGACTTTGCTGTAATTGGTGAGAGGAGAGAAATTAAAAATTCATAGGCAGAAGAGAAGCAAACATTCCAAGTGCTCTGCAGTTTGAATCTTTCATCTAAAATATTTAAGTACTAATTTCAAGACTTTGCTTTTGAAGTGAGGACAAAGTGATGGGGTGGGATGGGGCAAAATTAACCCTACAAGTGCCAGACAACTAGTACAATCCTAGAGAAACACCATAAGCATTATGAATCATTTGCTTTCTATGGGCATAACTCAAGTTTCAATCAATTTTTCTTTACAAATTGAATGCAGGAACCAAAAGCATGACTAATGTTAACTCTAAGCTTAGCTTTCTTGAGAAAATTAGGATAAATAAAGTTAAATTTAAAGGAAAGAGCTTTGAAATCATGCAATGTTAAAATGGGAAGATTTTGGTCTAGGCTGAAACCAGCAGTATCTATTTGGTCATCTTGAACAGACAAATGGAAAATTTATTAAAACTCTAAACATGATTTAAAACATTGGCTAAACAACCTGGGTATAAATACAAGTTGAATGACAATTATTGTCAAATATCTCTATTATACCTTATTTCTACGAAGTTGAAGCAATGTACAAGAACATGAACATACAAAATTTGGTCCAGCTTCAGTTTTGGAAGTCACTGTGAAGTTCTACAATCAGCAGGCACTTGTGTGGAACAACGTTTAGATTTTTTTTAAGAAAAGGTATTACTTTGCACATTATTCAAGCTTTTAGGAGTTAAACAGCAGCAGAGATACAAACCATAAAAGATTATAGGAGCACGCACAGCCTATTCCATGACGAGAGATATTGCAGCAGAAATGTGCAATGATTTTAGGCTGCAAATTATAAATTCTTTGTGCGTCAAATGAGGTCGTTGAGGATTCCTGGCCTCGTCCAGTCGAATGGCACTAATTACTCATCAACGCAGCCAGGCAACTTTGTATCATCTGTACATTGGTCTAAAAGAAACAGAATGCACAAATCTAGGATGATTGTAGAATTTGTCGATCAAAGCTGTTTAAACTACTCCTCGTTTGGAAACTGAGCACAAAAAATAAAGTTATGCTAAACTTTCTTGGCATCACATTTCAAGGAAGGGTGTCAAGGCATTATAGAGTGCAGAGGATATTTATCATATTTGAGATAAACTTTGGTCATACTGATAAACTAGAGAAGCTGGAATTGTTCTTCACAGAAGACTTAATAGTGGTGCTCAAATTTGAGGGGCTCTGGGTAAATAGGAGGAACTGCAGCATGAGGGTCAGTGATCAAAGGACAGAGATTTAAGATATTTTCAAAGGGAACACAGTCATAGAATCATTATGGTACAAAATAAGGCACAATTCATTGAGTCCACGACCAGGAAAATTTATGAGCAAAGTATGATGGCATGAGATGTACACCACAAAAAAAAGAGGAAGTTAATTCAAATTGTAACTTTTTTTTTTGAAAAAGGTATTAGATAAACACTTGAGAAAGGAAAAATGTGGTGGACTATGTAGAAAGAACAGGGATGTGGAACTAATAGGATTGCACCTTCAAAGAGATGCTGAGATGTTCTTGTTCCTTTTATAAGCAGGAACAGTTTCTCCATTTATACCCAAACAGCCCATTTACAACTTTGTAAACCTTTATCAGATCTCCTCGAAGTATTCTTCTCTCCAAGCAGTCCCAACTTCTTCAAACTATGCTCATAACTGAAGTTCCTTACCCTGGAAGGATTCTGGTAAATCACTTGTGCACTGTCTCCAATACGTTCACATCTAACCTGTCACCCAGAATTGTACATAATACTCCAACTAAGGAATGAGAAATACATTACACAAGTTCAACATCACCTCCTTGCTGTTGTATCCTATGGCCCTTTCTTAAGGAATACTCCCCAGCTGCCTGGATAAGTGCAGCTCCAACAATACCCAAGAAGCTTGACACTACTCAGGACTTGATTGGCATCACATCAATTCGCATCACATCAATTCGCATCTACTCCCTCCACCACTGACGCTCAGTAGCAGCAGTGTTTACTAAAATTTGCACTGGAGAAATTCAAAGATCCTTAGACATCACCTTCCAAACATATCACCACTTCCATCTAGGACAATAACAGCAGATACATGGGAACGTTACTACCCTGAAGTCTTCCTCCAAGTTGCTCATAATATTGGCTTGGAAATGGATCGCCGCTCCCTCACTGTTGTAGGGTTACAGGGATAGGGAAGGGGCGGGGGAAGAGAGTCTGGGCGGGATGCTCTTCAGAAGTTCAGTGCAGACTGCTTCCATGAGGGAATTTTATTAATAAAGCAGAGGATACTATATTCTATACTTACTGCTTGTCCATCTGTTATGCCACTTTCAACGATTTGTGCACACATACACCCAGGTCCCTCTGCTGCTCCTTACCCCAAATACAATTCTATTGTAATTCAATGCTTCTGTCAAAATGCATCACCTCACACTTCTCTGCATGGAAACTCATCTGCCACCTATCCAATTTGTCTACGTCCTTCTTGAGCTCTACATGATCCTCCTCAGTTTCCAATTCTCCGAAGTCTAGTCCCCTGCGTGCCGACACTATTTCAAAGTTTGCAAATGTAGACCATTAATATACACCAGGAAAAACAAGAGTCTTAATTTGCCCACAGTACTTCACTACAAGCCTTCATTAACCCAAAAAAAGTCCATTGACAATTATTATTTCCTGTCACTCAACCAATTTTGTACTGATCCTTTATTCCACGACCTATAACTTTCCTCAAGTCTGTTGTGTGGCGTTGTTTAAAATGCCTTTTGAAAGTCCACGTACACTACATTAACAGCATTCCCTCAATGAGCCTGTTACTACTTCAAAAACTCCAGCAAGCTGGTTAAACATGACTTCCCCTTTAGCAATCCATGCTGATTTTCTAATCAACCCATTTTTTTTTTCCAATAATTCGCAATTCTATAAAGAATATTGTCTCTAGAAGGTTCCCTACCACTGCAGATAAACTAACTAGTCTGCAATTGCTGGGCTTATCCTTACAACCTTTCTTGAACAAATCCATAATGTTTGCAATTTTCCAGTCTTCTGATCCCTAAGCTCCAGAGGTGGCAAGACAAAAATTGTGGCTACTGCCCTGAAATTTCCAGTCTCTTCCTCCAGAATCCTTGGATGCATTTCATCCAGTCCCAGTGCCTTATCTTCAGCAGTCTATCCAACACTTCTGCCCTATCAACTTTGAATCCTTCTAGTAATAGATTTTCCTCCTGTCACCATCTCTCACTTTGGTGAAGGCAGGTGCAAAGTGTTCATTTAACACCTTAGCTATGGTCTCTGCCTCCAGCTTTAATCCTATTGCAGGTCCCTAATCATCCCAGTTCTCCTTTTACTACCCTTTTACTATTTATAATGGCCAAAGACAACTTTGGGACACCTCTATATTTGACTGCTAGTTTTTTCTCAATTCCTCACTGCTGCTCCTATTTGCTTTTTCATCCCTCCTCTGAACCTTTGATATTTCTCTTGGTTCTCAATTTTATTTCCTACCTGAAACTTGTCATTAGCACATTTATCTCTTTTATTTTAAAATCTAGCTCTTTTGTCAACTGGGGAGCTCTGGATTTGGCTTTTCTACCTTTCCCATTTGAGGGAATATACCTTCGCTGTAACTGAACCATCTCCCCTTCGAAAGTCTGTATAATACTACACAAAAGGTAAAATTCTAAAATAGGTGTGGGAAGGGAATGACCTATGAATACATGTTTGTAAATGATTGAAGGTGGTATTGAAAAAAAAACGCAAGTATTGTGCCCAATTCTGCTCACAAAGCTCTTGGCAAGGGTACAGAAAAGATTTAAGAGAATGAATCCAGGGATGATAGGCTTTAGTTATTTGGCTAGATTGTAGAATCTAGGGCAATTTTTGTTAGAGAAAGTTGAGAGAAGTTTTGATTACAGGCATTCAAAATCACGAAGATTCTGAACAGAGTAGCTACAGAAAAATAGTTCCCATTGATGGAATTCTTGAGAACTAGAAGACTCTGAACTAAGGTGATGTACAAAATAATCAAATGGATGACATTTTTTGTTTAAAAAAATGATGATGATTTGGAATGCACTATCTGAAAGGGCGGTGGAGGTGACTCAATTAAATAAGAATTGGAAGGAAAGAATTTGCAGGTCCATGGGAAAGGTTGAGGGAGACAGTCTAGCTGGACTGCTCTCACAGAAAGCTGGTATGAATTTAACGTGTCAAATAGCAGAAATCAGAGGACAATCCTCAATGCAAAGAGGATATGGGTGCAGAACCCAAAACCGTGCTGCGGAGATAACAAAAAAAAATTCCACCATTTATTTGGGAGTGAAGGAGCAAAAGGTGTCGTTTCACTTATGACAATATTGCCACCTGTGGTGATATCATGACAATATTGGTTTCAAACTTGCTGCACAAAAAGTAATTTGTCCTTAACACTCCTTGGTTAGACTTAGGGACGTTGCCCTTAACATGCTATGAATAAACTTGCAAGCACTTTGTTTGGATGAGAGGGTAAATCTTAGATGTAAATATTAACAACAGGCTGTGGTTAACAGCCGAGTACTGGTACATGCTGGTTAAACCATAAACAAAGTCGGGCCTGTTGTGGATTACTCACTCTGGCATGTTTCAGCTCCAGCTCAGTCATTTCAATCAAGTTTTTTCGAAATGCTCCCACTCGCCTGGCTCTGAATGCAGTTAGTTCTGAAAACAGAGAACAAGAAGTTTAATTTCCATACTTACACTGTGGTGGTGAAGGGCTTCCTAAGACATTTAGGATCTTGTACCTTGCTTTGCAGACTCTGAAAGCTTTTCAAATTTCTGACCGCACAGTTGGTGCTGGAGCTCTGCCTGTTTCACATCTTTACCCTTCATTCGAGCCTTATCCAAGGTTTTGTTGGCATTTTCATAATCAACAAGAGCCCTTGCTCTCCTGTATAGAAGATCCTGATTAACAGAAAAGTTCAACATTAATATACCTTTAAATAAAATGCATCTATTCTAACCCAATGCCAATTTAACAGTCCAAATACAGGTAAAATTAAACTTTGTAATCCTCAATTTTACAATGTTGTTTAAACAGAAGGGCAGCAATTCAGGGCCTTGCACTATTCTGCCATTTAATCAGATCAAGGTTGATCTGTTAACTCTATTTACCTTTATTTGCTTGTTATTCTTCTTACCTTCACTGGGCATGTTTATTGCAAGATAGAATTCTAAATTTCCACTAACCACTCGGAAAAAATCCCTCATAGCCTAGCTCTAAACTTTAATTTGTGTCCCTTTGCTCTGGATTCCTTCCAAGGAGGAATTAGAAGTCAAATGTGAGATATATTCTGTTTTGTTGAAATCTGGGTTTATGTAAATTACACTAGTTCCTTCAAACACTAGGAAGGGGATTACAATAGGAAAACCTTTTGCTTAACTTCTGTTTCATTACACAATAACTATGTTATGTGGAACTACTAGTACCACTGTTGACTCCACAATTAAGTGTGATACACCACAGAATCTAAATCTTTGCACTAAGGTCAGGATGTCTGATCACTTCATGTTACTGCAGAAATCCTAGATTTACTAACCTGAAAACTAAACTTTATACTTCATAAACTGCTGGATTTGATAGTTTGAATTTCACAGATAGGGATTGGTCTGACTTCAAAGCTTTAACAGGGATGTTATAAATTTTAATTAAAATTATAATTTTAAAGCTGCCAAATTGTATATGGCAAGCTCCAATAAACAGAAGTGGGATAATGGGCAGATAATTTGCTATAGTGATTTCCGTTAAGGATAAATATTGACTGGAACACAGGGGAAAAATTAACTTTATCTATAAAATGGGACTTTTACGTCCACTTGTGAAGTCATCTCAGCCAAAAGACAGCATCTCTTGTCAATGGAACATTAAAGTACAAGTCTAGATTGTGTATTTAAATTTCTAAAGGGGTTTTGAATCCATGAATTCTAATTCTAATCTTTAATAGGATCGAGTGCAAGTGGCTAAGCTATAGTTGAAAAAGCAGCCTATTTTTGGAGAGCACTTTCCAGTACTTAATCTTGGAACACATGGCAACTCTGAGAACATTCAGTCCTCTTAAGCTGCGCCAAAACCAAACCCGAGGACTATCCACTGGCTGGAAATGGTTAACAGAATGTGTTGAAGAAATACTGTGCAACTATGAATGTGACTAAAACTTGAAAAGGCACCTTCTACTGCTCCTAAATATGATGCAATTCTCCCAAACTAGACATGAGGGCAATACTGCAGTGTTAAAATTATTAGGAATTTTGGCAGAGCAAACCAGCTCAAGAAAAGAGAATCCAAAACAAGAAAAAAAGGACTTTGTCCAAGAATCTGAATTTAGAAAAGAAGAGAAATTAAGATTTTTTAACAACTTGATATCTTTCCAAATACAGCAAGCTGTGATTGAAATACACTATTGGAAAATGTAGTGGAAGCAGATTGAACTCTAAAGGGAAATGGATTAAAACTTGAAAGTGAAAATTTTAAGAGGGTGACAGGCAAAGACTAGAGGATTGGGACTCATTGGATAGCTCTTTCAAAAAAAAACTTAGACACAATATTGAAGATGATCTCCCATTCTAATGCTGCAAGATTCAGATGAACATGGGAATTAGGAGAAGGAATGGGGACAAATGGCTCAGAGCTTACTCCACCATTCAAGATGATCGTGACAATCTGTTTGTGACCTCAACTCTACTTTCCTACCTACACCCTAATACTCAGTCATGGATAGTAGGAACTGCAGATGCTGGAGAACCCGAGACAACAAGGTGCAGGGCAGGATGAACACAGCAGGCCAAGCAGCATCATAGGAGCAGGGAGGCTAGCCTCTCTGCTCCTATGATGCTGCTTGGCCTACTCTTAGTCATGACTAGTAAGGAAGTCAATTTACCTCAGTGCTAAAAATATTCAATGACCCTGCTTACACCACTCTAATGAAGAGTGTGTTCCAAAGACTCGCAACCCTCAAAAAATTTCTCATCTGACTTAAATGGAAGAACCCTTATTTTTAAAACTATATCCACTAGTTCTAGGTCTCTCCCTCAAGAAACATCATTTCAGCCGTCACCCTGCCAAGTCCACTCAAGACCATTTTAAGTTTCAATAAAGTCACCTCTCATTTTCTAACGTCTAAATGGATACAGACCCAAACTCTGCAACTTGTCCTAATAAGACAACTTTGTCATCCCAGGAATAAGTTCAGTGATGCTTTGCTGAACTGATTTTAACACATTTATGTACTTTCGTAAAGACAGAGACCAAAACTGAACAGTACTCCAGATATAGTCTCACCAATGCCCACCTGAACTGTAGCAAAACATTCCTACTTTTATATTCCATTATACAGAAAAACAAATGTCCCTTTTGCCTTCTGATTCATTGTTGTACCTGCATATAAATTTTTGTGATTCTGGGGCAAGCCACACAGATCTCCCTGTTCCTCAATTGCTGCTTTTTAATTCATTTTACCAAAAATCAACAAGTTCAGATTTTACTCCACCTACTAGGTTTTTGCCCACTCTCAGGCTATATCTCATTGTGGATTCCTTTTGTACACTTCACAACTTAACTTCCTACCCATCTTTGTATCACAAAGAAATTTAGCAAACACGCAATCAATCCCTTTATCCAAGTAAAGGATATAGACTTTAAATAGCTAAGTTCCCAGCAGTGATCCTTACAGCACTCCCTTATCATATCTTACCAAACTGAAAATGGCTCATTGATGCCTATTGTTTGCGTCTGTTAGCTAACCAATCCTCTATTCACACTAATACATTACCCTCTATGAGGATGCTTCAATAAGCAAGAAATGACTGTTTTGTGACTACATTCATGTAGCACCAGAACAAGAAAGAACCAATTTGCTGCTAAAAGATTACCTGAAGCTGAGTTCTTCAGAATTGGGTTAATACGTGTTTAACAGGAAGAAGACATCAACGCACTGCAGGTTATATTACAATGCACAATTTACATACTAAATACAAATGGATCTTCGTCTGGCAGTCAGCATCTAAGGCATGCCCACTCTGGGCTATTATTCCTAGTAGGTGGCCATTATTATATTGTCAAAACAATACTTCCCTGCTACAAAAGATACAAAATCACCACATATGAAACAGTGAATCTGTGTCTAAATAACACAGGTAGTGTCTGTTCTGATCAAATTCATTTGAAAGTTGGTTTGTTGAAAAGAAAAATCACATGGATCTAAAAATAGGTGTTATTGGAGAATCTACTAATTAATATCTTAGATTTGGAGCCCAAAGATGTTATAGTAGTATTTAAATGAAACAAGCTGAACAGATTTTATTGCACACAGTAATCCACAAGTGTCAGGGCCTACAAAGACACCTTTGATCCAGCAAGGAGAGAAAAATCTTGGAGCAATCTACATATCAACATCTTGAGGACTAAACCACTGAAAACCAAATTTTGTGTTGCAGAATTGAATGAAAATAGTTTCTTATTGCATAAATAGAGCAAAGTTGAAACGTTAGGAACAGATAACCAAATGTTTCTACGCCAGTATAAAAATTGAGAGGTTTTACTAGAACTATACAAGGCAGTAACTCAGACTACAGCTGGAATACTGTGAACAATTTTAGTCTCATCATCTAAGGAATGACATAATGGCATCAGTGGCACTCCAAGGATGGTTCACTAGGCTGATCCTGGGGATGGAGAGTCTTTTGAGGACAGGTTGAGTGGGTTAGGTCATTTGTTTGGTTGGCGGGGAAGGGGTGCTAATCTGTGTAAGGAATTGTCCATTTAAGTCAGATGAAGAAGAAATTCTTCTGAGGGTAGTTAATCTGTAAAGTCCTTTGCCACAGAAGGCAGACAAATCAGGGTTATTAAGTATATTCAAGGCAGAGTTTTACTGATTTTAAAAATCAGTAAGGGTACCAGGGGTTTTGGGGAGAAAGGCAGGAAAGTGGAGTTTCAGCATAGTTAGATCAAAGACTACCTCTGCTCCGCACTCTTTGGTCAAAGCACCTGGATGAGTTGTTGAATTTATTCTTATTCATTCCAATCAAGATCAAGTGATGTAATTTGAAGATTGCAACAGGATGATCTTAGCCAAAAACTCAAAAAACACAACTACAGGGAAATGTATATGGGAAGATAAACAGCATTCCTAATTCACACTTATTGTAACAGAAAGCAAAATCACAGCACCATTATTTAAGTGCCAGAATAATATAATATCAGTAAAAAATCCTGAAGTCTAGCATAGCTTCCAGGATTACAAATCTAGAGACAATATTGAAAAGTAATATGCCTTAGTTATATTACCTTTGCTGCCTGTATGTCTCTCATATAATATTTTAACAGTTCTGTCATCTTCAAGTCTTCATCACTTGACACTCTTCCTTCTACTTTCTGTCAGTGGTGGATATGGTGGAAACCGACAAACAAAATCAGTAAAACAGGAACTGATTTGTTAATAAGCCAGTTTAAGCATTAGGCCAATTCAAACCAGAAATTTAAACATCCAATGTAAAGTTCAAGCTTCATTGCCCATCAAAAGAAGAAGTGGTAATAAATGTTCAGTACTAAGTTATTGCTATGGTTAAGAGTTATTTAGCAGGTGCAGGAGGGGAAACAAATAACATGTAATTAATCAGCTCTTCAGACAGTGGTCTAAAAATCACCCCATGTATCATTAGTATAGCGTGGATGAAATTAGCGTTTCTCTTTTTTGTTGTGAGTAGTCTATTTGTTGCCTTAGGTGGCTGTAAACCTTCGAAGGACGAGTGACTGCATTGCGTACTAATGGACACACTGCAGCAATTCACCAAGGTATTTACTGATCCCTCAAAAGCACGTACTACATCTAGAACAAAAGGTGCATGGTACCATCTCCAATTCATACACAATCTGAATAGAACATATCAATAAAAGCAAGAGTGGCAAGTACAAAGTTCCAAGATTTCTCCCTAAGCTTGTGAGAGCCACAGACAGCAGCACTTAAGTCATCCATCATCTTTTCTTGGGCAACTAGATTTGGGTAATACATGCTGGCTTTGTCAGTGACGCACACACGAATAGTTTTAATTGCAGTTTCCATTGCAAATAGTTGATTTCAGAGGGTTGAACTAGAGGACTGAATGGCACCAATACCAGATCTGGTGAGCTTGACGGGCTTGTAAGTGATGGAGAACACCGAGATAACATCCAATTGTTTCAGTCTTGATTTCAAACTGGTTGAAGGTTTTACCATTGTACACACCCACCATGCTGCCATCATCTCTGGAAGGATAAGCAAATCCTGAAGGTGAGACTTCATCGACAACCTCTAGTTTCTCCACTGGTGGATCTTAGTTGGTGTTGCACAGCTTTTTCAGGAGATACTATTTCTTGAGGGGCAGGCCTCTGCAGACCAATACAATACAACTGCATCAGTTGCTCATGAAACTGATCCAGGTCAACACACCCAGGGAGTAAACTTTCCTGAAAGTCCTTTCTTCTGTTCTACGTGGTCAGCCATTTGCACTCAGTCTTCCAGGCGTTAAAACTGTTAAAAATTCACCAACTAGCTAAAACTGGCAACTAATTTGGTATTCTGGGTACAAATCCTGACCCAAATAGGCAGTTTAGCACCTAAATGGTGTTGCAATCGGTCTATTGCAACATCTGGAACAGAAACAGAAGAATCATGAATGAACTTCCTCACACCCCTGGTACAAGGGTTAACTTTACCTCTACTACCCAACTTTGCTCAGTACACCATTCTTCAGTAGCTAAATTCCAAAAAAAAACTGTTGCTACTAGAAAGAAATGGGTTTTCACATGGAGAGCATTTAAATTGGGACTTTTAATTACAATGCATGTGGTAAGGAGAAACACCACAATGGCATACACTAGATAGCAAGGGAGTAGGGTGTGCCTTATTGAAATTATGATTTTGTCTCTTGCTCAAGTTAAGAATCAGATTGTGGGCAGTAGCAAATTAAAAAGAAATGGAGGTTGCACCAAGAAGAAATTTGTTGTTTGATAATTTTTAAACATACATGAACACCTCACTGTGTAGAAACACAAGGTGGGGAAAAAGTGGCTACTCATCCCATCACGCCTGTTCCAGCATTCATTTAGATCATGGCATTTCAGTTTCACTACTTCATTAATACACTTTTGCTCCATATCCCTTAAAATACTTAGCAAGCAACCAAAAAACCCTCAGTCAAGACAATTTAAATTAGAACATTTCACAGCCTTTGGACAGTGAAAAACTAGACATTTATCCTTTTTCCATTGCATTTCCCAGTCTCACTCCTCACTAGCCTATTTCTAACATGTATATTGTGCCAATGTGCTGGAATCCTGCATTTAACAAAGTCATTTACTGAAGTAGGTCCTTTACTGTTCTTAAAAAATAAATTCTGATTCTTCTTCCCTTCCTAAGTTCCTGTGCAATCAGGTTTATACAGCATTATGATCAAAACACATGCGAGTATCGAGATAACAAGGTGTAGAGCTAGATGAACACAGCAGGCCAAGCAGCATCAGAGGAGCAGGAAGGCTGACGTTTCGGGCCTAGACCCTCCTTCAGAAAATTT